TTTATCTTTCTTTCTTTAATTCACAATCTTTTGATGCTTCTATTTTCTGTCTGTGGTATCACTAGTTTTCTGATGCAGCAGCACACCAGGACTCCTTTGAGTTCTCAGAGGCACACAGACATCTAGATTATACCAGGTCTCATGAATGCTCTGAAAATGGTAAGACTGAAGCCAGTTCTGATATTTGGCATATGTTTCTTTCTCCTCTCTTCTTCCCAGAGATAAGCCAGACTCTGGGATTCTCAATGATTATTTTGTGCTGACCAGGAGAAGGGCTCTGGCAGATGACTGCATAGTAGTCCAACCTTTGCCTTTATTCTCAGTGGCCCGCATGCATCTAGAATATGCTGGGTCCCATCAGTGCTCTTAGACAGGTGAGATAAAGTCAGTCCCTTATACAGCCTCTGAAAATTTTGGAACATTGCATACTTGATCCAGCTCTTTCCTTCCAAAGAGAAGCTGAGATTTTGTGATTTCTTTACCCACTTTATCATACAATGAAGACAGCTTATGATAATTACTTACATGATAGTCTAATCTGCCACCTTTTCCCCCAATAGCTAACAGGTATCTAAAAAATGTGCCAGGTCCAATCAGTGCTCCAGGAGAAAATAAGCCAGTCTCTCTGGCAGCCCCTGAAAAAGTTGGAAACTTACACATACAGTCCAATCCTTTTTCTCTTCAGGAACTGGAATTTGGTAGTTTTTAACCTTCTTCTTTTTCTGCTCTACTGAAGTTGAGAGTCTATAGCAGGTGCTTGCTTGCTCGTCCAAGCTGCCACCTTTGTTCTCAATGTCTCCTAGATTTCCACAGCATGCCAGCTTCTAACTTGCTTCAAGATAGGTGAGAAGGAACCAGTCTGTTGGGCAGAAGCCTATCCCTGGAAAATTTGGAATGTTGTACACAAAATCCATCTCTTTCCCTCCCCATGAAGAACCTGGGATTTGGGGGTTTCAGCAGTGCACTCTGTGCTGAGCCCTGGGGAGGTACCATAAGGAGTACCTGCTTGATAGATATCTTCCGTACTGCTCTTTTTGTTCTCATCCAGGGTCCCTTCTTTTCAGGGTTCAGATTCAGGTAAGAAGTAAACCAGTCCCTTGGGAAACCCTCAGGAAAGTCAGAAAATTGGACTTGGATGTACAGATCAGACCCTTCCTTCCTCCCTGGGAAGAAGCTAAGTGCTGCAGGTTCCTAGCGGTCGTTTGGCACTGTGTTGGGAAAGGGATTATGTTGTGAGGGTTTTATGGATTTTGCTGCCAGCTTCAATGTAGTTAGCTTCATGCTTCTCTCGTGAGAAATCTGGTTTTTGATTTTTCACAAAGGGAGTCTATCTCTGTGTCTTTGCATCTTTGTGTCTTGGGGAGGCAGGAAGGAAAGGCCAGAACTTCCCATACCATTTCTCTGAGGTCACCTCCCAGTTTTTCTTTCTGCTTAGCTTTTTTTGCTTTCCTTCTGCCTTCTCCCTGCAGAGCTGCATTTCCTCCCAACACTGTCATGTTACTGGGCTAGTTTACCTGCCTTATTGCATCCAGCACGATCAAATCCCAGGTAGATCTGTCACAGGCTCATATTCACACACATGTTTATTAATACTTACCAATCTGAATTTGGCAGTATTTACAAATATGTTTCTCTGCATCTTTTGACTCAGTAACACATTTTGGGAAATTTTCTTGAGTTACAAGATATAGTTCCATTTTATAATGGTTATGTAATATTCCATTATGAAACTGCTTCATTATTTTCTTCTTTTTCCTATTGAGGGTAGTTATCTTATTTCTACTTTTTCCCACTACAAATATTTGCACATGTTTTCAGATACTGAGGCTTTTATTTTGATGGGATAAAGTTTCTAGAGTAGAATTTCATAGCCAAAAGATTTCTCATAGTTTTAAGTTTGAATAAATGTCACATTGCTTTCCTCATATTGTAAGAATATAATTTACCCACAGAATGTGACAATGCTTACCAATCATGTCCCAGCCAGCCATGTGTGTTAAGCACCATTTAGACTTTGCCAGCTCAGTGGAGTGAAGGAATGTCTCTTTCCTAGTTCATGCTTATCTGATTATTGGCAAATTAATCTTTGGGCATATTTATTCTCCATTTGGATTAGCTTTTCTGATCATTGTTCATTTTTATTTTTTAAGTTTTTTTACATTTTCTTCTCAGAGGATTATATTTGATAGATAACCTTACTTTTCAGATTTATCAATTTTCCATTTAATATTTTAGGATACACTGAGTGTATATATATATATATATATATATATATATATATATATATATATATATATATATATAGTGCGTGTGTGTGTGTGTATTTATTTATTTATGGTCAATATACCTGTGTATTTCTTCATAGCATTGGAGTGTTCTGTCTTTGGTATGCTTCTAAAATGACAGAATCTATATAGTCTCATGGATTTTATTGCAAAATTTTAAATTAGATATCTTTATTTAAAGTCTTTGGTTAACTGAAATGTATTCTTTATGTGATATAAGATATAGACACATTTTTATATTATACCTCTGGATACCCATTTGTTCCTGTGCTGCTTGCTAATACAACTTTCTCCACAATGAGTTGAATCGTAATCTTCAGAACATACTAACTGTGCATATGTTCTCTTTTTGTGGCTTAATTATTCTGTACATTAGTTTGTCTAATTGTCTATACCAGTGCCACATTGACTAAATCTGGTGATTTGGTAGTATGTTTTGGTATCTGGTAAGTTTTATCTAACTGTTTTTCTTTGAATGATACATTTTGGAGAGGAAGGGCAATTTTGAGACATGTATTCTTCCATGTGAAATTTGTGAAAATATATGTAATTCCAGGGGAAAAACTCTTCTTGTTTTTATTTTATTTGAATTAAATTTTTTATTCTGAAACACTCTGAATAAAAATAAATTTGGTCCTTAGAACAAGAGAGATAATCCAGAGATTAAAAACCCCCTCTAAAACATAAATACATGAAACAAAAGCATCTTATAAGACAGATCATACCTCAGCTGGAGCAACTAAGTGGCAATGTGGCCTAAGGGTCTGTGAATGCTTCTGAGAGGAGGCCAGCATGCCTCTTGGGACATCTGACCTATCAACTTTTTCTCAAGATAAATAGAAGCACATGTCCTACGTGAGATGTAGAACCTGTGGTCGGAGTGACCCCATTATTAGCATATTTATAGAATCAGTACAAGAAAGGAACTGTTCTTGGAGTAGGTGATCCTCAATGCCATCTTCCCATTGGGTAAGGTTATCTGGACAACTCAGGGAAGGAAAGTTGACTCATCTATTATCCCAGTTCAGCATAGGGATGGAGTGAATGTGGCTTGAGACTCTCTTATAGATGCGGAAGAAACAGGGAGGATGGAATTTTCCTAAGATTCAGACTGAGGAATAGGTTCAGTTATAACAGTGCCTTGATTTGAAGGACCTATCTCGGAAATATCATGGATTTTTGATGGGATAGCCTAATTTTTAAAGTCTGAATGTGTTAGAAGATGTATCAGAAGCTTTAAATCTTGGAAAGTAAATTGTTAATGTATTGCAAGTGCCACCACCACACCTTCCTAATATCCTCCTTTACTGTATTCACAGGGAAATGTGTCCTTCTCCTGTTCACATCCTCAAACTGTCCCTGTGACTTTTCTGAGCTCAAGGAGTTATTTGGCTCTGCCTCATCCCACTGGAGAGAACTCAATAGCTGTCACTTTCCAATTTCGAACATGGAACCGAGCGGGGCTGTTGCTGAAAAGTCAGTTTCTACACTGGTCAGGGGCTCTTGTCCTTGTTCTTAGTGATGGAAAACTCAAGCTGAGCCTCTGCCCACCTGGCCAGCCAGTGAGAGCCGTCATAGCAGGTGAGACATCACAGTGCCTTTGTATAGCCATCAACATCCTTACCCATAAGCCTGAGAGCAGTCATTTTTGAATGAATAAAAAATTGAGACAATGAGATATTCATAATCTCAGTAGAACTAACTACAGATTCTATTTTCCTTTTTAAATGGGAAACTCTACGTTGCTCATGGGTGAGTCAATGTGACATAAGTCTGTTTACATGAAAGTATAGTTGTTACAGAGTTTAAACTGTGACTTTTATTATCTTAATTTGAGGGTTGGCAATCAGAGGTAAACTTGAAACACTAGAAAACATTAGCCTGATCCTAGATAGTCTTGAGAAAATGGTTGGATCTCTTTTAACTGTCTTTCACACCCACACACTCTCTGATTATCAAAATACAGACAGTCTGGGACTTAGAATAGTTTGACATAATATTTTTCAACTTTACAGTGGTGAAAAACCCATATTCATTTCATAGAAATCATGCTTTGAACTTATAATTTTGACCTCCCTTGCCAGTCAGGTATATGGCAGATGCTCTCTCAGTGCTGGCAGCAGCAGCCAGCCATGTTACCTAGGGAGTCTTGTTATCACAGAGGCCAACAACCAACACTGTGCAGTGTTCTGTGAGGCCAGTGGGTTTTTTGGATACAGGCATTTGATAAATTAAATGAGATATTCAACACTTTATTATAAAAATGGGTTTTATCTTATTTTTTTCAAGTATAAGCTAAAGTATGTTCTTAGCATGCTTAACATAGGCCAGTGTAAGTTATGATGTTTTGTAGGTTAATTAGGTTTGTTAAAAGAATTTTTGGCTGTGATATTTTCAACTTAAGATGGGTTTATTGGGAGGTAATTCCATAGTAATTTGAGGAGTGTCTATAATTTAAGTTATATTTTTTCCCCTTCTGTCAGAGCAGCTACCTTGGGTAGAGGCTACATGTTTTGGAGTAAAACTCCTATAACTTGTAGAGAATATCATCTTTGAACATTAGGGACCATTTTGCATATGAGAATTAATGATGGTTTAAACTCAGCTGGAGCTGAGAATATGTCACTCCATGAATGTTGAATATGGAAGGGATATTTTGCTTAGGGTCTGAAAAGCTGGGAGTGAAAATAAAATTTTTCTTTCTTTTTATAAACCAAAATTTATTGACCACCAGCATACTGAATTTCCTTGTGAGCTGAACTGAGAGCATTAATTCAGTTAGTGACCCGAATCCTGGTTTGTTTAGCATTACAATCTGTATGCAATAGTAGCTGGAACTGTTTATATTTTTTACATGGAGATATAGGTTACCCCCATATGTATATATGTATACACACACACACACACACACATTAATTGAACTTTTTTTTTGTTAGCCAGAACCCTTTTTCTTTTCTTTTCTTTTCTTTCTTTTTTTTTTTCTGTGTGTGGGGTGTCAGAGACTGTGAACCCAGGGCCTTGCACATACCATACCACAATTTTTAAGTTAGAATTATTACATGGAAAGACCACAAGAGCACCCCCCCCCATTTTGGTTTGTTCTCCTAGTTCTAGGATTATGGAATTTCTTTCAGAATTCTGTTTCAGAGTTAATTTCATCAAATATGTTTTAGCATCTTAGCAAAATCCTCTATCTTCTTGTTTACAGATGTTCTCACTTTCTAGAGCAGGATCTATGACTTTTGGGGTCATGTTAGAAACATGACCTACATAAGAGAATTATGAGTCCCCAAAACCAAGTCACTAGTGGGAGATCAAGCAGAAGGAAAAAGCTGGTTTCTAGAGCATTTGCAGGAGTTGGATTTATGTGCTCATTTGGGCAAGGAATACTAAAATATAATAATTATATGTAAGACTGAACTTCAGCAGGAAGAAAGACCACATTTTATTTGGAGATTACATCTCCACTGGGCTACAAAATGACTTTTGATTCCTGCAGGTTGATTTTTATCCTTAAAAAGCTGTGACTAGTCTGTACCTTTATAATTTATTAGATACATTAGTTAACTATGGGACCTCCCTCAGGTGATAAGATTAGACTCAAGCAGGTTTCCTAGCATCCTAGAAATCAAGCATTCACTAATTTGTTGTTTTTAAGTGAATTAAACTTTTTCTCTGGGATCTTCTTATTTCTACAATACAATTCCTAAAGATCTCAATTAATCACTCTTCCCTTCAGGGAAGTGTGTATCTGCCCCCTGAAGTAACCTCTTGTCCATTAATGTCAGACTTGGTCAAGTGACACATTTTGGTAAATGGATTCTAAGTGGAAGTGACATTGACACTTTGCAGTAGGAGCTTTAAGAGCCATAGCAAAACTCTGCCAAGTATTTTCTTCTCTAAGACATGAAGAACTGCAGGCCATGCATTCATACTTGGTCTTAGGTGAAAAGATCAGGTGCCACAGAATGGATGAAGATCTGCTGCTTGGAACCACAGACAGATGAACCTTAGTTTGTTAGTCACTGACACATGGGTTGATTGCTGCCACAAAATACTCTAGTGGAAGCTAATAAAAATTGCACTGGGCAATGTCCTGGGATGCTTGCTGTTCACTGATTCATCTCCCACACGCCAGTGTGAATTTTCGTCATAAAGCCTTGTAATGGAGCCAGCAGGAGATAATTCCATCATGCTCAGTTGGTTGCCAGTCCATGACTCCACCACCCTCTGTTCCATCATCTTAAAGAAGATTAGATAGTTCATTTTAGGATGCAAGAGACTGCTTGAGCAAGAACTAATATTTGTATTTAAAAAATAAAACTATAGTTATAGGTGAATATACTGTAGCAAATTTGGAAAAGAGAAAATGTAAAAATGACATAAAATGAAAACATAGTTTTCTCATCCAAATATGTAATTTTTAAGAATACTTCTGCCAGCTGCCAGATGTGGTAGCCCAGGCCTGTAATCCCAGAAGCTTGGGAGGCTGAGGAAGGAGGATTACAATTTCAAAGCCATCCTCGGTAACTTATCAAGGCTGTAAGCAACTTAACAAGAATCTGTCTCAAAATAAAATATTTTTAAAAAGGGCTGGGGATGTTGCTCTGTGGTTCAGTGCCCCCAGGTTCAATCTCTGGTAACAACAAAAAAAGAATATATCTGCCAACTTTTTTTGCATGTTTATATAAAACTTAAACACATCCACATATACCACATACATTTTAATGTAATGCTTTTTTAGCTTTACATTTTATTTTTATGAATATCTGTGCCTAATTAGTGCCTAAATTAGTATTTTTGTGAATGTTTAATTTGTTTATTATACCTGAGCATATCATTTTGTTTAAATTGTCTACTAAGATTATAAAAATTAACAATACATGCATGTAAGAAACATTTTTAATTTGAAATCTTGGATAATATCTGTACTTCTCAGTAGCTAAAGATATTATTTAACTAGATGAGACTAAAATATGCCCTGTGTTCTGTCATTGGAAATGTTTTCTCATCACAGGATAGTTCAAGGTCAGTTGTGGAAAATGTATTCCACAAAAGCCCTAGATAGAAGAAAGTACTCCTGTCTCCTGGTGTAGAATGCAGGACTATCTGCTCTGTGTCTTTATCCCTTTTATTCTGATTTCTTTTTCTCCCCTTCCCCCATACTTATCTGACTCAAAGAGTGATGAGAAAGTGAAAAACAGTGCTGGCAATGGGTATATAAACCATAATATTCCCAAATGAACAGAATAATTTTTGTTAGAACATAATAAGAACCAGACAAACCAGTCCATAACCGGCCAACCAGAGACAAAGTCTCCCTCGAATCCCTAACCCAACTCAACAAGCCGCTATCCAAGCTGACATGGACAATCCCTTCCTCTTGAGCAGGCTACAGGCTCACCTAATCACCTTCTCAGGATCTCCTACCAAAGCTCAAATCATTCCTCAGCCTTTCCCTGTCTCCCTTTGAGATCTCACACAGAAAAACAGCCCAGGGCACTTGAGGTGGGATGTGGTGGTCTTTGACAAGCAGACTTGCCATTGTCTGCATCTGCTGTTTTCAGGCACTGGTCCTGTACTGGGGTCCCTTATAACCCACTTTGTTTACCTCCAGGTGATGGATTAAATGATGGTCAGTGGCATTCTGTGTCCTTATCTGCTAATGGGAATCATTTGAGCCTGAAGGTGGACAATGATGTATCCTCTGCTGCCCATTCGCAGCGTGGGCAGATTCATTCTGCTAATACCTATTATTTGGGGGTAAGTAAAAGGCACAGGATATATTAATCAAATCTTCTTTGTGTCTTCCACATTCCAAGGTGACTGGTATTGCTAAATGAAAACTGATATTTTAGAATGATTTTTCTCTTTCAGTGATAGTCAGTTGGGAATTTTGATGGACAAAGACAATAAATTGTAGCCTAAAATGCAAGTCTACTCATTGATCTTATTTAAATGTGCACTAATGTGATTGATTTTAAATAGAGCTTCCTCTTGGGAGTTGTTCTCAACTACAGCTGCACGTGGCAATCTACTGGAAAGCTTCAAAAATGCTGGTGCAGGGCTGGGGTCATGCCACAGTGGTAGAGCACTTGCCTAGCATGTGTGAGGCACTGGGTTCCATTCTCAGCACCACATATAAATAAATAAAATAATAGGTCCATCAACAACTAAAAAAACATGCTGGTGCTGAGTTAACTAATCTTGTGTCCTGAGCCACAGGTTTTTTAAATGCCCTTCAGGTGATTTTAATGTGAAGACAATGTGGAGCATCCTTGTTGTCTATTTCTAATCCTTATCACAAGGAATTTCCCTAATCCCCAAAGGCTGTTACAACCTTTCGTTTTGATTTCATTTGTCAACATTATTACTGCATAGTTGCTTTATTCTGACTGCTGGCTCCTCCTCTCCCTGGAATGTTTCTTCAGCAACACCTGAAAGCTTGCTGGAAATGCTGACTCATTGCCCCTCACCTTCTGCATCATGATCTGCATGTGACCAAGATCCCAGGTGGTCTTCAGTACTTTAGAGTTTAAGAAGCCATCTATATGGAAGGGCACTATTATGTACAATAGAGCAAGATATTGTCTATTAATTTTTCTACTCTTGTTTAGCAATGCATTTTACCAAGACAACACCAGGCCATATCCTCTGGGCTCCAGTAAATGGAGCATTTGCTTGCTGGATGGGTCTTCGATTTAGTTCATCCAGGATCCCTTCAGCCAGCAAGATAGTGCCTCTGAGGGTAATGAATCTCTATCCCTGGGGTAGTCAAGTGAAAAATTTTTGCCACTAGATGCTTGGACCTGTCAATAGTAAGAGTTATGTCTAACCTTGGCTTAATGCCTTTCTTGATATTATTCCTGTTTTGCATTTTATAGTTGTTCCTTTCTAAAATAAGATTGGAATCATGATGGAGATAGATTTCCAGCCCAAAAAGAAAATATAAAACTCTCTCTAAGAATTGACAATGGAAACGCAAACCATGAATCCAGTTGTTTAATCTTTCAAGTTTCCTAGAGCAACCATGACTGCAAGAGGTAAAATAGTGTCAACACCCTTAAACATTGGACTGTGTACTTTTCTTGTTTGCTAAATATGGTACATTTCTGATCCTGAGAGGGTTTTACAAGATGTTTGCTATTTATGAAAGATTTTATAGCTCTGCAGAGAAACAAATTCCTTCAATACCAAAATGAGAATTTATACAAGAACTATAATTCAAAGGGTAAAAGATTCTGAAGCACTAAAAGGGATAGGAAATAAAATCCTGGCTGTATTGTTTAATGATACAAAATGAAGTACACTGGAGAAAAATGCTTTCAGATCACAGAATCATCTTTCATATTTTAACACATATTCAGAATATGCAATGCACAGAGCCATGAGCATAAGTACTTTCCATAAATATTTACACACTGATGTGATATGAATTGTTACTGGGAAATAGACCACATTCACACATTTATACAGCATTACTAATATTTCTTAAAAGCCTATAGAATGCAACATTATAGTATTTTTGAAGCTTCTCTTACTTCCTTCAAACTCATCTCCCAGGGATTTATTATCTTGCACTTCGTAGGTTTATCATCTATGTAAGTAATTTTAAGTAGTATTTTATTTTGTGCTGGTCCACTTTTAACTTAATACATAGGGTAAGACTGTGCATTCTTCCATGACTTCCTTTTATTCTTCTTCATTACTTTCTGAGATCCAGCCATGTATATGTGAATTGGCAAACTTAATTAATTTTTACTGCTGCATGGTTTTCAATGAATATTTTATCATAGTTTACTTATCTATTCCACTGTCTCTTTTTACTATTGATACATGTTTTGATTGTTTCCATATTTACTATTTTTTTAAAAAAAATATTAATAATTCTTGTACAGTTGCTAAGAATCATCTTACCAGTGATTTTTAAAATTTTCTTTATGTACCATATTATGGTGCTCAAATGTAGAGTTAGTTCAGTGAAGCAGAAGTGACATACTGCAGTTTAAGTGACATGTACTGGTTGTTAAGTTGCATTCATTAGAACTCACATAAGTTATGCACACAGACCTAGCTTTTGGTTCCTCCAATATATTCGACAGGACCCTAGAGATCTGGAGTTAAAACAGGCCTTTCTTGTGCATTTTCATAAAATTTTATTGTTAGACACAAAAAATTTCTTGCTAATATAGTTTCCAATGAGAAACTATTTCCCTAAGATGAGCGAAATTACAGATTATAAACATCCTAACAGGGAGGGGAGCTTGATAACTTTTCTTCATTATGACTTAACAGTTTTTCTGTTATAATTGCAAATTGGCACTTAGTTGCAAAAATATTTTCAGAATTTGCGATCCCAGCACTTTATTCCTAAGAAATGTATAAATATAGAGTGACCTCTATATGCATGGCTGTAAATAACCAGCTAATTCCCACAGTACAATTTTAGACACTAATTCAGACTTAGTCCTCTATAGATATTATGCCAATGTAAATGTATCTTTTTTTCCCCTGAAGAAAAAATATATAATATTTAGCAAACTGAAGTACTGCTTTCATCAGGTAAAAACACACATGCAAATAAATACTCAAACATATCAGTTTGCTAATTTTTTTTAGATTAAAAAGGTATCTCTTATTTGTACTCCCAGGAAACCCAGTAGAGAAAATGTAGGATGAATAGATATGGAGTTCTGGCTTTTAGTAGATATATTATACTCAGAACTTTAATGCATGGGTGTTCCAGGTTTGTTCTAGGGCCACTCAGCTTCATCTTGAGAGGAACTCCACCCTGACAACCCCAGAATTAGGGTTATTTTAGACAATCACAAGAGTAGTTGGTGTCAGTGTTTCTGTTCATTTAATTCTCTTTTTAATTAGTGTCCATTGGTGCCAGAATATGTTTGACACTGAACAAGGAAATTTACTTCACCCAGTTCACACACTGTCACAACAACTGGGCTAATAAAGTGTTCCTGGGTCCACTAAGTGGAAGTCAGTTAATGACATTGATTCTTCAAAGAAATCAATATCCTGTGATCTGAGACACTCTACAACCAGTTCTCTTCCCCTTTATTTCCTAATGTAAGCTTAACCCCTTATTCCCAATTATGTTATAGCTATAGTCAACCAAATTTTGTTAGTACTTCACCCTAAAAGCATATATGTGTGCCTTGCTATTATAGTTAGGGTGACAGTAAATTTATTGTCCAAACCAGGACACTTTAGAGAATGAGAGGGATGATATGAGTAATTATGAAAGGACAGCAACATAAACCAAGACCTTCTGGTGGCATGGAACTATTTGCTATGTTATCTGCTATATTTTGGTCTGGATGTCTCAGTATGCAGTTTCTTCTTGTGAGAGAGATTCACCTACTCAACAGTGTTTTAGTCAACTTTGTGTTGCTGTGACTAAAAGACCTTGCCAGAATAACTTAAAGGAGGAAAAAGTTTTATTCTGGCTCCTGGTTTCAGAGGTTCAGTCATGGTCAACTGACTCCATACCTCTGGACCCAAGTTGAGGCAGAACCTCATAGTAGAAAGCCATGACAGAGGAAAGCAGCTCACAGTAGTCAGGAAACAGAGAGCTGTACTTACTAGGGACAAAATATAAACCCCAAAGTCATGCCCCCGGTGACCTACTTCCTCTAACCAACATCCTACCTGCCTACAGTTACCACCTAGTTGGTCCATATTAGTGGATGAATCCATTAATTAGGTTGTAACTCTCTATCATTTCACTTAGAACATTCTTATATTGTCTCACAGATGAGTGTTTGGGGCCACCTCATATCAAAACCATAACAAATAGCAGTATTTTTTATTTCTCACATTAGAACTCTGATTTAATTATCTTTTTCTCAGCCTAAGGATGTGTGTGTGTGTGTGTGTGTGTGTGTGAAGTGTTCTTCAAATAGCTGTTTCTCCATAGCATATTGTATTTTTGGTGCCTGCTATTGGGGGTGACTAAAAGTTAAAAATTCCCTGCTACAGGATCTTTGTACTATTAATTAACAGATTTTTTACCACAGAGTTGGGAATACTAAATTATGTTCAAAGGTGCCAAACCCACCATGTGTGAAACATGAGGGGACCACTCTGTAACAAAGTCTCACTCTGCTGACCTCTTTCTGGTACAGTGGCATAAAGTATCAGGTCCTCTTGTGTTCCTCACAGGAACTTAATCATGATGACGCTCCTCAATAGTGAAAGATACATTTTATTATTTGTACAGTAAGCATCCACTTCCCTATTTACACCTTTAATCTCAAATGAGGTGCTTAATGAAGAAACCTCCACCATTTTACCTTTTGTATGGGCTTGGGAGAAACCTTCTGCATGAAGAAATGGAACATTCCTGGCTTTTGCTGGCTTTGAATCTCAATTTCCCTTCCTTTTCTACTTCTCTCTCTGTTGTGACTAGTGAGCCATATACCTAGTGGCTTGACCTTCTTCTTCTTTAAAATTCTGCATTAAGAAATGTTTATTGTAATTATTGGACGTGGTTTAATTTTATTCCTAAAAGAAAAATATACCACATTTTATTTTGGAATAGTTTGAGGTCTATGATCTATATAAAAGGGAAATAAGCAGAAAAGAAATACTAGTGATTCTTTTTTATAATTTTGATTTGTTATATATGTCAACATAATACATTACAATTCATATTACACATATAAAGCACAATTTTTCATATCTCTTGTTGTACACAAAGTAGAGTCACATTCTTCTTGTCTTCTTACATGTACTTAGGGATAATG